GCCAATTCTACAAAATTCTCTGCTCCAACTGGAGCCACTCTCTGGGATACTGTGCCCCAGATGCTTACCTGATCTATCCAGGGAGCAGGAAGACTCAGGGAAGACAGCAGAATGGCAGAAAAAAGGAATGATGCAGATAGCTACTGTGGTGGTCACCTGGAAAGACTGCAGACTCCCTTGGGTGGTGGAAGTGGCTGTGGAGAATATATGGTTGATGGGCACCCAGCCAAAGATCCACACTGGCCACTGGGGACCTGTTCCAGGTGGAGAAAGATTTCAGGTTCATTCTGAGGGCCAGTGAGGGACCTCCTGATGATGACAATGAGGGAGCTGGCTACCTTCACCATTCAGAGGAGAGCAGAGGCCCGCTGGATCTGGATGAGTCGGGGACCTGGGGGCTCCAGATGCGTCACACAGTCAGGGCCTGGAAGAACTGCCAGATGGGTTCAATCAGATGAGCCTTGAAAGCCCAGGGCCAGGACAGAGCCTGTTGAGGAGGCAGCCTGCATGGTCATCCACAACTCCAACTGAGATGGCAGGTACCATTCAGTTGGGTTTACCACGCCAGTCATGGCTGGGTCCAGGCACAGTGGGTCTCTATCACAAATCCACCACAGCCCCCTGTGCCGACTCCTTCACCCTCTCAGCCTGCAGCCCTGCTGTAGATTAAGAGACAGCCCAAGAGATGTCCACTTGGCCAACAACTCAGGTCCTGGCAATTTGAAGAGCCACCAAGAGGGTCTCTGCAAGGCCTGTTGAATGCTTTCACCGCAGATGCCAAGGCCACCAGATGGCTGATTGTCTGGCTTCCGCCCCCAACCAAGGGTAAGGACCCCCAAGCCAATCAAGGTGAAGGAGCCATTGTGGAAGGCAATGGAAAGGGGAAAACCCATCAGCCAGGCTGTCAAGGTCTCCCCTCCCCCAACTGGGGAAGAGGGAACTCCAGCCCAGGAACCTGAAATTCCAATGGCCTATGACAGTGACAATGCAGGTGAGGATGACCAAATGGTAAGTGAAGATGTCTGCCCATTCACCATCTGGTTGAGAATAGTAGCACCAACAGGGGCACAGGGGGAAGTGAATGCAATCAGAGACACGGGCTGCACCCACTGTCTGATCAACCTACCCACAGTCCTAAGAATGAAGACAAATGACCCGACCCATATGATTTGAGCAGGTTGATGGATCTTTGATAGGTGGGGCCCCTGCTACACCCTCACCGAACCTGAGAAGTTGGAAATGGGCCGCACTGGGAAGTCATCTGCTTTGTGGTGGCACTATAAATGACAGAAGCGGTGATTCTAGGCCTGACATAGTTGGACAAATGGGGCCCCACCATTTCGTGGGAAGGTCGCTATAGGAAACTAAAGCTGGGGATGGGGATAGGCCGCAATCCCCATCCAAAGATTGCCAGAGGAAGGTCTGTCCAGTGACAGAACAACACTAAGTGAAGCAAGAAAAATGCCACTGATTCACAGCCATTCCCAAGTACCCCCCAGATCCCTAGAGAATACTGGACCTGGCTGAGGTGTTCAGTGAGGAGGAATGCAATGTGGTACCACCCGAGACTGTGCTATAGAGTTTGTACCGAGGGCTAAATTATCCAAGCCAAAGATGTACTCCATGATCCCACACGAGATGAGAGAGCTAAAGCAGTACATTGACACCAACCTGGCCTGTGGATTTATCCAACTGGCTTAAATCAAGAGTGGCCTCTCCAGTCCTCTTTAAAGAGAAAAAGGATGGGTTGAGGAGGCTCTGTGTGGATTTTAGAGTAATGAACACTGTATGCATGGAGAACATGTACCTGCTTCCCCTAATGAAAGACACATTGTCCCACCTCGCTAAGGGGAAGGTGTTCACCAAATTGGACCTATGAGAGGCATACTACTGGGTGCAAATCAAAAAAGCACAAGTAAAAAACTGCCAACCTTTTGGACCTCAGGGACCACCAAACTCATAATTTTAAACCCCATGGACCACTAACATGAATTTTGACTGACAGTGGCTTGCTGACATTTTCCCAGGGTCTCTGCAGAAAGCAGCAGAGACCCTGGGAAAATTCCCCCAAAAGTCTGCAGGAAAATTCCCCACCCCATTTCCCTTCCCAGGCTGGTGCTTTCGGCTTCATGCCAGTGCAAGCAGTGTGTGATCAGAGCTGCCGTCTCTCTATAAATACTGGGGGGGGGGCGCTGGTGTGCTGGGCTGGTTGGCTGTGCTGCTGCCTCTTGATTGGTTGATGGAGTTGATGTTGGTATAATGGGCTGTGTGATAGCCTTGTGAGTTTTGTTGTGGAGATATCCTGGATCTTGTGCTGTAATCTCCTGGGTCATTCGTTTTGTAGTGATCTTTTTTCCATTAGCCTCCCGTGTTTTAATGGCTTGGGTAATGGGTTGTGTGATGGCCTTGCGAGTTCTTTTGTTGTGGTATCCTGGGTCCTGAGCTGTAATCTCCTGGGTCATTTGTGTTTTGATCGCTTTTCCATTAGCCTCCTGTGTTGTAACAGCTTCGGTAATGGGTTGTGTGATGACCTTGTGAGTTTTATTGCTGTGGTATCCTTGGTCTTGTGCTGTGATTTCCTGGGTCGTTTGCTGTATTGCAACTTCTTGAGTTCTTGTGGTGTAATTTCCTGAGTTTTCTGATGTGACATCCTGAGTGGGTGGCTGTGATGTAGCATTTTGGGTTTTGGTCTGGTTTTGAGTTTGGGGTCTGGGTCTGTGTTCTTGGCATGTGTCAGCTTGTTTGGTTTTGGGGTTGGGGTGTGTGACAGTTGGCGAGGCAGCCGTAGTCTGGTTTCTGGAAGGTGGTTGTCCTTTGTTTATAGGATGCGTTTGGGCCTGGGTCTGATGAGGGCGATTGGCGGTGGTGTCCTGTGTTGTTTTGGGTCTGGTGTTGGTTTTCATGGCTGGGACTCATTTGTTGGTGAGGGCTAGTTTCCAGATGTCTGGTAGGCAGGAGGTATCATCCCGTTTATTCATGTTATGGGGGTGTTTCTCTATTTTGATGGCTTCCCTAATTATTCTCTTGCTGGAGTGTTCAGTGTTGGATATTAATTTGGTTCCTTCAAAATTAATTTCATGTCCTGTGGCTTTAAGGTGCTGGAAGAGGGAGGAAGTATTTTCTTCTCTTCTGACTGCGTTTTTGTGTTCTGCGAAGCGTGCATTTATTCTCTTGTTGGTTTGTCCGATGTATGTGGCTGGGCAATTGTTGCATGGTATTTCATAAACTCCTTGGTTTTCTAGCTAGATCTTGTCTTTGGGGTTTCTTAGTGTTATGTCCGTGGAACTGGTGGGAGTTCCCAACCAGGTCCGCTGTTTGAGCAGGAGCACCAGCCGCTCCCATTGGCTGGCTCCGTTTGACAGTCGGCTATATAAGCCGGCTGTCGAGCAGAGCCAGCCCATTGTCGCCCGCTAGTCTGCAAGTTAGCAAGCAGACGCGACAACCCTTTATTCCCTGCAATAAAGCCTTGTTAGTTGTACGCTCTGGTCTCATGCCTCTTCCTTACCATCGCTCTACAACACTGGCGACGAGGATGGGATGGTCGAAGGCTAACCAGACGCGTCTATTCAAAGAGCTGTAAATCACTAAGAGTGAAGTCACGAGCGCTGTAGCCGCAGCCGCGCAACGCTCACAAAGAGCGCGAAATTCAAACCGCCATTACTCGAGCTGTAGTCACTGAAACGAGCCGCCGGCACCGTAGCTGCGGCCGCCAACGCTCACCAAGAGCGCGAAATTCAAAAAGAGCTGCGTAACCCAGAGAGACAGTCACAGCCTGCGCTCTTTTAAGAGCGCGATTTCAAAGACGATTGAAGAAGATGAACCCGGCACTACCCACGATGAATGCTAATCCAGCATTCCCGCCATTCAAGCCAAACGAGGAAACGTGGGACTCCTACAAGAATCGTTTCAGCCATTTCCTCGATGCCATCGGGTTAGCTGACGCTGTGGAACATAGAAAGAAGTCTTATTTCCTCAGCTATTGTGGGGCCGCTGTTTTTGACACCGCTACAGCGTTAGTCGCACCACGCGCCATCAGAAGCGTCCCATGGGATGAACTACAAGAAATACTCTCCAATCACTACGCACCAAAACCATCCCAGATCGCCAGAAGGTATGCCTTCAGAATCAGGAAGCAGGCAGTGGGGGAGTCGATCAACGAATACATGGCTGCCCTGAGGACAGCTGCCTTACAGTGCGGTTTCAAAGAATATCTGGAGGACATGCTGCTGGACCAGATTGTCTGTGGGGTTAGAGACCTGAGACTCCAAAGACGTTTGCTGGCTAAAAAGGACTTGAATCTGGCCCTAGCCATGGAGGAAGCCCTGGCTGCTGAGCTCTCGGCCCAGTCAGCAGCTGAGATTCAGGGCACTCCATTAAAGCCCAGCAGTCCAACCGTCCATTCTGAAGAAGTGCTCAGTGAAAAAGACCCCACAGACCCATCACACATTAACCGCCTTAAGCATCAGAAGCCTTCACAGGTAGGAGCGGGACAGACAACCAACTTCACCCCCAAACAACTGCCCTTGTGCCTAACCTGCGGAGGCTCCCACTCTAGGGCATCCTGCAGGTTTAGAAACGCCATCTGCCTGAACTGCCAACAGAAGGGTCACCTCGCTAGAGTATGCCAAGCAGGGCGCTCCTTGCCTCAAAGACCTCCACCACCTTCTATTTCCCAAAGGCAAGTGGAGGACTGCTATACCTGCTACCACGCTAACCATACTTCCCAAACCCCTGATAAAATTAAAATTTCTGTTTTCCTAGAAGGTAAACCCTGCAGGATGGAGGTAGACACGGGATCTGCGCTCTCAATCATCTCCTGGGATACTCTGAAGAAGATCCAGCCCAGACTGTCAAGGAAACAGCTCCAAAGATGCCACCTGACGCTGCAGGACTACCAGGGCAAGAACATTCCTGTCCTCGGGAAAGGCAAGTTCCTCGTTCAATTCCAAGCCTTTAAAGGCCATTTACCATTAGTGGTTGTTAACGGTGCCCTCCCCAGCCTGTTGGGACTTGATTGGTTTCCTTCCCTTGGCCTTAGTGTAACTGGGATCCATGCTGTCTCAACTTCTGACGTAGATACATTATTTTCTGATTTTTCTGACGTATTTAGCAGCGAGCTGGGTTGCTATTCGGGCACCCCCATCTCATTTTCTGTAGATCCCCAGGCAATCCCTCTCCGCCTTAAGCCACGCAGGGTGCCTTTCGCCATCCGTCCTAAATTGGACGCAGAATTAGACAAACTACTTAAACAAGGGGTGTTAGAACCTACTGATTTTGCCAAATGGGAGACCCCCATAGTCACCCCACTCAAGAAGGATGGCAGTTTAAGAATCTGTGCAGACTATAAAACCACGCTCAACCGTTATTTACAGGTCAGCGCATACCCCGTCCCTGTTATTCAGCACCTCTTACACACATTCGAACCCGGTACCATTTTCGCCAAGTTAGATATGTCCCAGGCATACCAACAGTTCCCTGTTGATGATCAGACAGCTGAATTACAAACCATAGTCACGCATAGAGGGGCATTCAAATGTAAGCGCCTCCAATTCGGGGTCAGTGTGGCCCCGGGTATTTTCCAATCACTCATGGAACGGATTCTCCAAGGTCTCCCAGGAGTTGTTCCGTATTTCGATGACATCTTAGTCTCAGCTACAAGCCGACCTCAACTCATTCAGAGGGTCAGGACAGTGCTAGAGAAGTTTAGGCAGCATGGCCTCAAACTTAAAAGGGAGAAGTGCACCATCGCCACTAGGCAGGTGGACTTTCTGGGTTATAGGATAGACGCCTCTGGCATCCACCCAATTGAGTCCAAGGTGAAGGCCATCCACGAGGCACCCACACCAACCAACAAGACTGAACTACAAGCCTTTCTGGGGCTTCTAAACTTTTACGCCTCATTCCTCCCGCACAAAGCATCTGTCGCTGAACCCCTACATAGACTCTTAGATAAAGACTCACCCTGGCATTGGGGACCCAAAGAAGCCCATGCTTTCAAAGCAGTCAAATCCTTACTCACATCGGAAGCGGTTTTAGTCCAGTTCGATCAACGCCTTCCTCTGGTCCTGGCTGCTGACGCATCCCCTTTTGGGATTGGGGCTGTCCTAAGCCACAGACTCCCCAACGGCTCCGAGGCACCAATTGCCTTCTTTTCTAGGACTTTCTCCATGGCAGAAAGGAACTACAGCCAAATCGATAAAGAGGCCCTGGCTGCGGTTGCTGCAGTTAAAAAGTTCCATGAATTCTTATTTGGCCACCATTTTGAACTTGTGACTGACCATAAACCTCTCCTAGGACTCTTATCTGGAGATAAGCAAACCCTGCAGGTACTTTCACCCAGAATGACCAGATGGACTTTGTTTCTGGCCGCCTACTCATTCAAGTTGGTGCATCGTCCTGGCAAGAACTTGAGTCATGCCGATGCCCTCAGTCGCTGCCCCCTGCCAGTCCCAGTTGAGGACCCTGCACCAATTCACGCCATTTTTGAGGTCAACGAACTCAAACTTCCAGTGACAGCCGAGACATTGCGGCGCACTCAAAAAAAACCAAAATAATCGCCCAGGTTCTGGACTGGGTGGGAAGGGGGTGGCCGGAAACTCAATGTACAGTTGACTTTGTTCCCTTTAAAACCCGCCAGCAGGAACTGTCGAGGCTACAGGGATGTCTATTGTGGGGTACAAGAGTAGTCATCCCAGCCACCCTTCGAGTACCCATCCTGAAGGTGCTTCACGAGGGCCATCCGGGCATCGTAAGGATGAAGGCGTTGGCCCGCAGCTACGTTTGGTGGCCCGGCATGGATGCTCAAATCGCTGACTGGGTAAGCTCTTGCCAACCTTGCCAAGAAACCAGGGCTGCCCCGCCAGCTGCCACGCCCACCAGGTGGGAAAGTGCTAGTGCCCCTTGGTCTCGCCTGCACATCGACCTGGCTGGGCCAGTGCATGGCAGGACTTTCTTGGTGGTCGTGGATTCCTACTCCAAGTGGATTGACGTGGCCTTGCTTCCCATGACCACCACCCAAGCAGTAGTCAAAGCCCTGACCCGTTTATTTGTCACCCATGGACTTCCAGACACGCTGGTGTCTGACAATGGCCCGCAGTTCACATCATGTGAATTCAGTATGTACGTGGCTAATTTGGGCATCAGACATGTCCTTACGGCCCCCTTTCACCCCGCTAGCAACGGGATGGCAGAGGGAGCAGTTAGGTCAGCCAAGGAGGCACTCGCCAGGTTTGGCCAGGAAGACTGGCACTCTAAACTGTCTCGTTTCCTGCTCAGCCAACATACGACGCCTTGCACCACTACTAACAAATCTCCCGCCAAACTTTTAATGGGGAGACGCCTTAGAACCACCCTGGACAGGCTACACCCCCACTACTGCCCAGACACCCCTTTAGGGTCTGACAGTCTGGTCAGAGACTTTGCCTTGCAAGACCTGGTGTACGCTAGGAACTATGCAGGGGATCCTTTGTGGGTACCAGGTCAAATCGTGTCAGTCACAGGTCCAAGATCCTACAGGGTCCTCCTGAAAGATGGACGCTTGTGGCGAAGGCACGTGGACCAACTCAGAAGGCGATGTGCGGCTGACGCCAACCCAACCCGACCTGCCAGCGCCAACGCCTCCCTGCCGGTGCCAGACGGAAGCTCCATGTGGAACCCGGTTTTCCCCGACGAACAGGAAGGTCTACTGGAGAACCTGAGTTTCCGGCCAGGATCACCGACTCAGCAGCCGAGCGTTCCAGTTTGCCAACCGGACCTCGAGACTCGCCCGGGTCAGCCCGAGCAAAGGGACTCGCCGACTTCGCAGAACACCGTGCCGGGGCAAGCCCATGCCCCGACGACCGTTGAGGCATGTCCCGAGGGCCTGGACTTGTCACCAGCCAACAGTTCACCCGAACTGTGACGTTCTGGTCGCCAGCGCAGACAGCCAACTTACCTACAGGACTACGCATGTTCCCAGCTGGGGGAAAGGAGTGTTATGTCCATGGAACTGGTGGGAGTTCCCAACCAGGTCCGCTGTTTGAGCGGGAGCACCAGCCGCTCCCATTGGCTGGCTCCGTTTGACAGTCGGCTATATAAGCCAGCTGTCGAGCAGAGCCAGCCCGTTGTCGCCCGCTAGTCTGCAAGTTAGCAAGCAGACGCGACAACCCTTTATTCCCTGCAATAAAGCCTTGTTAGTTGTACGCTCTGGTCTCATGCCTCTTCCTTACCATCGCTCTACAACACTTAGGATGTTGGCTATTTTTTGGTCAGTGCCGAAGGCTGTCCTGATATTGTTTTGTGGAGAATTTTGCTGATTTTGTCTGTGGTGCCTTTGATGTAGGGGAGGAATGCGATACCGTTGTCTTGTTCTGTGCCTTGGTTTTTTGGGGGTATCTCTCTTCAGATTAGGTTGGTAATTGTGTTTCTTTGGAATCCGTTGGAAATTAATACATTAGTGTTATGTCTCACCTCTGCCCACGAGGTGAGAGTCCAAGTTTCCAAAGGAATATAAACAAGCAGACAAGACCAGTAATGACAGGGTTAAATTCCTTTGGCTGGAGAAGTCCTTGGCAGTCTCCCACAAGCTGCCTGCCAAGTCCGACAATAAAGCAAGAACATAAATCACAGGCAAACGCCACACACAGAATTTGTCAAAGCTTCTATCCCAAATTAACAAATTGTCCCGAATGAGAATCCAGAGCTAACACACCCACTTTTATTCCCTGAGGGGCATGTCAGTCTCTCATCTCAATCCCTGATTTGTCCTTTCCTTCTACATTGCATCTCACGCCTACGCCAACATTCCTCAGTTTGGTCCTCAGCCAGAGGCTCCGCTATGCTCTCCTGATTATCTGCCGACACCTGAGGCACAACCAGGGAGGAAGGTCCTGGGGAGGAAGGCAATTCCAAATCCTCCAGCAAAGCAGGCTCAAACCTCAGAGCCAAATCCTCCTCTTCCTCATGGCTCAAGTCTGTGTCTTCTAACAGAGCAGGCTCAAACATCTGAGTCACAACACGTTAGTGAGGGTGTGTAGTTCTGTTCTCAGGTGGTCTTTGTCAGCTAGGCATTTGGTTCTGGAGATGAGGGTCTTGGCTACGGAGTTGATCTGTGCAGGGTGGTGATGGGATTGTGCATTTAGGTAGCAGTTGGTGTGTGTTTTTTTCCTGTAGATGGTGTGTCCTAGGGAGCCACTGGGTTTTTTGTAAATTAGGACGTCCAGGAAGGGAAGTTGGTTGTTGGTTTCTGTTTTCATGGTGAATTGTATTTTGGGGTGTAGGTTGTTAAGATGTGTGAGGAAGTTGTCCAGTTTTTCTTTCCCATGTAGCCAAATTATGAAAGTGTCATCTACATATCTGTTTGGGTTTGTGTTTGGATTTGGATTTGTCTAGAGCGTTGGTTTCAAAGTGTTCCATATATAGGTTAGTGATGACGGGTGAGAGGGGTGAGCCCATGGGTGCTCCTTCTATCTGTTTGTATCTTTGTCCATTGTGGATGAAGTATGTGTTGGTTAGGCAGTGGTTGGTCAGATATGCAAAATGCTGCACTCTAGAATGCCTTTAGGATCCTATCCCAAAAGCGAAAATGTGTGTATAATTTATGTGCAGGGAACAACCAGTGGTAGAATTCAAATAATTTAACAACTGATTCTCTGCCTAATGACCGGCTGGGTGGGCCAGCTTCCTTCAGCACTCTGCCATTCAAGACGGTGCAAGAGTGAATTACAAAATGTGGGCTTTGCTTTGTAACATTCAAATCCAGCAAGCAAGCAGTATGAACTGCACAGAAAATACACTTTTGTTTGGTTATGAAGAAATATCCCCAAAGTCAGATGTACACTAAATGTAGATTGACTTTTTGCCACACATCTTCCCAGCAAACAGCAAATTTTGAAGCTCTAGGTGAAGAGGATTCATTTTAGGATGAGTAACCACAATTTATATGTTGGAGGTTCCTAAAGGAATGCTAGGAAACTCTGTATTTTAAAGAAAATTTGAGGGTGTCAGTCTGTGCTCCATTCAAAATCCAAGAAAGAAATACTTAGACTCCATAGATTAGAGGAAAGATATCTTTTACTGAAATTCGAAGTGGAAGCTACAGGTAGAATTCTGAATCTGAGAAATTAGGCGCGCAGATCACATATACAAAGTGATGGAATTGTTCCCATCCCCCCAAAGTTCAAAAGATTCTTCCAATTAAAAGTTCTGAATATGATCATGTGGGCATCTTCAGGTGGTGATGAGGCCTCTGTCCGTTGACCTTGACATATTTTGATAAAGATGCGCAGTTGCGCAAAGGAAAGAAAGCTAAGCAAGAAAATAGAAACTTAAGAGCAGGAATTTATACTCCCCCCCACTCCTCATTTTTTCAACACAAGAATGTAACACCTCCAGCTCTCTTCCCAGACACAACCCCTCCCCCTGTTACTCATGGCAGCCGAAAGATGCAAAGCAGTAGAAAAGATCTTGGAGGCTGACAGAGGGAGGGATGCAGAATAATCCTTCTCTGCCTGAGGCTGTAGAGACCTGGCATCCATCAAAACACTTTCTGTGAAGCAACTGATCAACACTGACAGGATAAGCCACTTGTTTTGTTTGAGCAATGAGAGGCTGAACCAGAGCATGAGTGCAACAATACTTTATTTTACAATAAAGGGCTGACCGTGCTTGCCAAGCCTGGAACTGGCTCGCAGCAATCAGCAACCGGTTGGACCCCACAGCCTGCTTTTATAGCTGGCTGCTGGGGAGAGCCAACCAATGGGAATGGGGGAATAACGCCCACGTAAAGTGAGTGGACCTGAGTGAGAACTCCTTGAGTCCTCAGGACATAACACCCCTTCCCCCCAGATGCGAACATGCATAGTCCTTGAGGTAGACGGGGGGTTTGTGTTGGCGCCCGGAACGGCGCAACTCGGGAACATTGTCTGTCTGTTCGGTACCAGTCTGTGATGGTCGAGCCGGCATAGTGTCGCCAACACTCTCTCTGGACTGGGCATCCTCGGGAAACACCGGGTTGGTTACTGGGGTCGAGCTCTCGTGGGTTGGATCTGGCTGGTCAACTCTCTGGGCGCTGTTGTCCGAGTTTGGGCTGACCGGAACGACCGCTGGTGCAGACTGGTCGCTGGGTACGATGTGGCTGGGCGGCGGATGAGGCGGTTCCCCTTCGACTGGAGACTCTGGACTCTTGTTGGCAAGGGTGCTGAGGCGCCTTCTAAGCTGGTCAATATGTCTCCTCCAGACGCGACCATCCTCCAGCCTGACTCTATACGATCTCGGCCCGGTGATGGCGATGACCTCGCCTGGAATCCAAAGTGGGTCCCCGGCGAAATTCCTTGCGAATATCGGTTCCTGTAACAAGAAATGTCTAACCCCCGACGTAGAAGCGAGGGGAGAGTCAGGGCAGTATTGTGGGTGCAATCTGTCCAATACAGTCCTCAGGCGCCGGCCCATCAGAAGTTCCGCTGGGGACTTATTGGTGACTGCACAGGGGGTTGAGTGTTGGCTCATCAGGAACCGTGCGAGTTTGTGGTGCCAGTCATCCCTGCCAAACCTAGCGAGGGCCTCTTTGGTGGTCCTGACGGCCCGTTCAGCCAACCCATTACTGGCAGGGTGAAATGGGGCCGTGAAAATGTGGCGAATGCCCAGGTTGGCAGCAAAACGGCTGAATTCTACTGATGCGAACTGTGGGCCATTATCGGAGACAATGGAGTCGGGTAGTCCATGTGTAACGAACAGGCGCGTTAACACGTTGGTGATTGCTAGTGTGGTGGTCGTGGATAGCTGCGCCACGTCTATCCATTTGGAATAAGCGTCCACGACCACTAGGAACATCTTTCCATGCACGGGGCCTGCCAGATCGATATGGATTCTAGACCAAGGGGCGTTGGCGCTCTCCCATCTGGTAGGGGTGGCGATGGGGGGAGCAGGACGGGATTCCTGGCAAATGCTGCAGGAACTTACCCAATTGACAATGTCCTCATCTAGACCCGGCCACCACACGTAGCTGCGTGCTAACGCCTTCATTCTCACAATGCCGGGGTGTCCCTCGTGCAACGCCTCCAGGACTCGGGTACGCAGCGAGGTCGGAATGACCACTCGAGTGCCCCACAGTAGACAACCCTGCAAACTGGACAGCTCCTGCATGCGAGTCTTAAAGGGTGCGAATTTGTTATCGATGTTGCCTCCCGGCCACCCCCTCCTCACCCAGTCGAGCACCTGGGCGAGCGTTTGGTCTGCCTTGGTTTTAGCGGCAATGTCAAGGGCGGTGATGGGCAGGTCCAACTGGGTGATTTCAAAAATGGCGTTGACAGGAGCTGGGTCTTCAGCCGGAGCGGGTAAGGGGCAGCGACTGAGAGCGTCGGCGTGGGATAGAGTTTTGCCCGGGCGGTGAATAAGTTTGTATGAATAGGCCGCTAGGAAGAGTGTCCACCTTGTCATTCTAGGGGAAAGGACTTGAGGTGTCTGTTTGTCGCCGGCCAGTAGGCCCAGGAGGGGCTTATGGTCGGTGACCAGTTCGAAGAAATGGCCAAAAAGGAATTCGTGAAACTTTTTCATGGCTGCAACAGCTGCTAGGGCTTCCTTGTCTATTTGGCTGTAATTTCGCTCCGTGGCCGAGAGCGTCCTGGAGAAAAAGGCGATGGGGGCCTCGGCGCCATTGGGGAGTCTGTGACTAAGGACCGCCCCAATTCCAAAAGGGGATGCGTCTGCTGCCAGTACTAAAGGAAGGTTGGGGTCGAATTGGATGAGCACTGCCTCTGACGTAAGTAGTGATTTGACGGCGTTAAATGCCTGGTCTTCTTTGTGCCCCCAGTGCCACGGTGACTTTTTGTCTAGTAATCTGTGTAGGGGTTCGGCTACTGAGGCTTTATGGGGCAAGAAGGATGCATAAAAGTTTAGGAGCCCCAAGAAAGCTTGTAGCTCCGTTTTGGAGGTCGGTGTGGGAGCTTCGTGGATTGCCCTAACCTTGGACTCCAGGGGGTGAATGCCAGAGGCGTCAATTTTATAACCCAGAAAGTCCACCTGTCTAGTGGCAATGGCACATTTTTCTTTTTTTAACCTGAGGCCATGCTGTCTGAACCTCTCTAACACTGCTCGCACTCTCTGGAAGAGTTGGGGTCTGTCCCTGGCTGAGACCAAGATGTCGTCGAAGTAGGGTACTACACCAGGGAGGCCCTGTAAAATCCGCTCCATGAGGGACTGAAAAATACCCGGGGCAACGCTTACGCCAAATTGGAGACGCTTGCATCGGAAGGCACCCCTGTGAGTGACGATGGTCTGAAGTTCCGCTGTTTGGTTATCAACAGGGAACTGTTGATATGCTTGAGACATGTCCAATTTAGCAAAAATACTGCCCGGTTCAAATGTGTGCAATAAGTGCTGAATGACGGGCACAGGGTAGGCGCTAACTTGTAAATATTTATTGATTGTTGTCTTGTAGTCCGAGCAAATTCTCAGGCTACCATCTTTTTTGAGGGGTGTGACAATGGGCGTCTCCCACTTGGCGAAATCTGTTGGCTCAATGACCCCTTGTTTTAGTAGCTTATCCAATTCAGCGTCTAGTTTTGGTCGAATAGCAAATGGAACTCTACGTGGTTTTAATCTGATTGGGACTGCCTGGGGGTCAACGGTGAACGAGATGGGGGTTCCATTATAACACCCCAGCTCCTCACTGAACACATCTGCGTAGTCAGCGAATAAGGAGTCAGTGTCTGAGGTTGAGACAGCATGGACTCCTGTTAACCCTAGGCCGAGGTGGGGAAACCAATCGAGCCCCAATAAGGTGGGTAGATTGCCGTTAACTACCACTAGAGGTAGGTGGCCTTTAAAAGCTCTAAAACTGACAAAGAACTTGCCTCTGTCGATCACGGGAATGGCCTTCCCCTGGTAGTCCTTCAGACCGAACTGGCATCTCTGAAGCCGGGTAGTAGATAGGCTGGGGTGGAGTCTCTTGAGGGTGTTCCACGAGATTATTGAGAGCGCTGACCCTGTGTCAACCTCCATGTGGCACGGTTTACCTTCTAGGGAAACGGAGAGAGAAATTTTACTAACAGTGTGGCAAGTACGCCTGGCAAGGCGGTGCGTGCGACAGTTTAATACTTGCCTCTGTGGTCCCGAGTGCGAGGACGGGGGTCTGTGTGCAGCGCTTTGGGGGGCTTGGCAGACTCTCGCAATGTGCCCCCTCTTATGGCAGTTGTTGCAAACGGCTCCTTTAAACTTGCAGGTGGCCCTTTGATGTGATCCCCCACAGGCTAGGCACAGAGTGATGTGCTTGGGTGGACCGGTGTATTCTTGTTTGGCCCCTACCTGCGACCGTCTGTCATTGGTGAGGCGATGGACATCGTTCTCATCGTTGTGGGCTTCCTCCGCTTCTACCTCTTCGGAATGGACTGGGAACGATGCTAGCTTGGCGCTTGGGCCCTGAATTTCGGTGGCTGAGTTCG